GTGGGCAGAGGTTATTGTCCCTTTTCTGAACCCTCCTTGAATAGAGACACAGAGATGACAAGTGAGTGCCATATCTGAGATTCCATCAACCTGGTTAATACTATTTGCCCTGCCCTAGAAATCCCCTAAGGTTATGTCCCACCCAACTTTCCAGCCCACTCAAGCTGTTAACAGTGGCTTTGCCATATGAATAGCTGGTCTTGGATCTTGCTTCACAACTTTCTAAATCTTCTGAAAGAAGCAACAGCTAGCTTCAGTGAGTCCCTAAACCCCAGTACCTCTTTCTAAATGACCCAAGACCCAGCACTAGGAGAAGCTAGTTTTGTATCACAGTTTGGCTTCCCCTGAGAATCTGCAAGACCAGCACAAGTAGCATCCATCTGCAGATTACTTTATACATCATTCAGGGTGGTCCCAAGAAGAACACCTGTTGGGGCTGACCTTGGCCTGCACCACCTGGAAAACCCCAGGACCTTTGCACCCAGTGGACAGCTATAGACCACATTGAAATACTGCCACCCTGCCCCTGCACATCTGGTCCTCTACAGAAGGCAGAGGTTGGTGGTCAGTGGACACAGCAGACCTTGAAGCTAACTGGCCTGAGTAAATCCCTCTCATTGACTTGCCAATATCATTTCAGCTTCAACTACAAGAGGAGAGTGTACTCAGCACACAAGAAGGGCACATCTCAAGTACCCAGTTTGGGTGATAGAGGAGACTGTGCCATTGAACTCTACAGGATACCTAGTACATTAGGCATTGCTACCAAGACAGGAAGTCAGAGCAGCTCTATTTAATACACAGAAAAAAACACAGGGAGGCTACCAAAGTAAGGAGACAAAAAAACATGGCCCAAATGAAAGAATAGATCAAAACTCCAGCAAAATAACTAAATAAAAGGGAGATAAACAATCTATTAGTTGCAGAGTTTAAAACACTGGTTATAAGGACGCTCAAGGAACTTAGTGATAACCTCAAAGGCATACAAAAGATCCAGTCAGAAACAAAGGATTCGAAAATTGAAATAAAGAACAATTTACAGGGAAACAGCAGCAGCATGAAAGAAGCTGAGAATCAAATCAATGATTTGGAACACAGGGAAAAAAATAACAACGAATCAGAACAACAGGAAGAAAACAGAAGCCAAAAAAAACAAGGACAGTATAAGGAGCCACTAGGACAACTTCAAGCACTCCAATATTCGCATCATAAGAGTACCAGAAAAAGAAGATAAAGAACAAGAAATTGGAAATCTATTTTTAAAAATGATGACAGAAAACTTCCTTAATTTGCTGAAAGAAAAAGTCATGCAAGTCCAGGAAGCACAGAGTCTCAAACAAGATGGATGCAAAGAAGCCCACTTCAAGATACGTCATAATTAAAATGCTAAAGGTTATAGATAAAGAGGGAATCTTAAAAGTAGCAAGAGAAGTTAGTTACCTACAGGGGATTTCCCATAAGACTGTCAGCTGATTTCATACATATCTATCAACAACTGAATCTAAAAAACAAACTAGGCAAACAAGAAGAACAGAGACAGGATCATGGATACTAAGAGGGTTTTGATGGTTGCCATATGGGATGGTGGATGTGTGGAAATGGGTAAAGAAGTGAGGGGATTAATAATTACAAATTGGCAGTTACAGAATAGCCATGGAGATATAAAGTACAGTATAGAAAATGGAGTAGCCAAGGAACTTATATGCATGACCCATGGACATGAACAAGTGTGGGGATTGCCTGAGAGAGTTAGGGTTGCTGGGTGGAAGGAGAGCTAAGGGGGAAAGACTTGGGTCAACTGTAATAGCATAATCAATAAAACATAATTTTTTTATAAAGAGAGAAATCTCACCTTTTTTAACAGTGTGGATCTGGCCATTATTATGCTAAGTGAAACAAACCAGTTAGAGACAGACCAATTACCATGCAATCTCACTTATATGTAAAATCTAATTAACTGAATAATCCAAATAAACTGATGAACAAAATAGAAACAAAGACATGGATACATGGTTCAAACTGGCAGCCATCAGAGGAAAGGGGGAAAGAGCCACAGGATGAAAGAAGGTGAAGGTATGAGCCAAAAAATAGATATGCAGATCCCCTGGACGCGGGCAACAATGTGGTGATGGCCAGATGGAAGGGTGGAGGTGGGCAAAGAGAGTAAATGGGGACATCTGTAATAGTGTCAATAATAAAAATAATGAAAAACAAATGAAATAAAGAGTATTTTTAAAGGAACAACCAAAATCCATATTTTTAGATCTTCATCCCTTCTCAGCTTGGATATCACTAGAGAAAGCTGTAAAGTGTATGCAGGTATGAGGTGGGACTATTATCCCCCATGAGCCTATCTGGAATAGTCTTGTACCTTATCATTCAAACAGGGACACTTTTAAGAATGAAAAAGATGCTGTTCATAATTATATTGGGACAAGAACCAGGACAGTCTTGGACAAACCAGGGCTCACTGTCACATTAATTTAAAATCACTCTTCAGCGCCACACTCTCCCTGACTTCTGTCCAGAAATGACATTATAATGGCTTTACATAATTTTAATATTTACAGTTAGAAAACAACAAAAATACCCTATGAGTTAATAATAATATGCTATCATAAGAATAAGATATTCTTTGATAATGAGTAACATTGATCAAAGAAGAGAATTATAAGAATGATTTTGTAAGATGACTAATGCAAAGGAAAAAGGAAAAATTGCATTCTGATTAGTTAGCTAAAATTATCTAAGTAGGCCTTCCAGACCTCTGTAGACTAAGGACACCTACATCTGGAAAGCTGAGGATGCAACTAAGTTGTGTCTACTTGTTGCAGCAGCTAAGCCAATAACCTAACACTGTAGAGAATATCAAGCTTCCATTTTTATAAAAACAAAAGTATACCCTTCTTCAGATTCCTAAGGTTGAGGAAAAAGTAACTTCCCCGTGGATGTGGATTGCAATTTTTATCTCTATTCTCAAATTTGAACCTTAATAATGTCCAAGTGGAGTCAGGTCAGCAATCAGAAGAGCTTTAGCCAACAGAGAGCCTTCTCAGGTTATTTCTAAGTGAGTTAGATGCTATTAGGGGTCAGGTAACTAAGACAGTCACTAAATAATGGAGAAAAGTAATAATCCCACATGAACATAATATACCATATTATACAGATTGTATAATCTGTAAAAAGTTCAAATTAAGGCTCTCTACGTTCCTGAAAGTCTGGCTTCTGTAGCGTCTATCTGGGGCTAAAACAGACTCAGTAAAACTGCTTATGTGCATGTAACACGCATTAACCCTCTACCTTAAACACTTGTAATTTGAGTAAACTATGGGGTCCTAAAATGTTAACTGTGTTTATCTTTGCATGGGTGAACTGCCAGTGATTCTATGCACTGCCAGTCCTAGTCTTTCTTCCTGGTATTTTCTCATTGAGACTGAGTACTCTTGAATTCTATTAAACAAACAATACTTTTGAAATTATAAACAAGGTCTTTAAGACAGATCATTAAAATATGTATAACAAACTTCTAGCTTCTGGTCCAGCATACAAGAAGCTGGGACCAGAAGCTGGAATACTGTACTCCAACCTAAAAACAAGTGAAAAGCTGAACATTTATGGCTATAAATGATGAATTGAAATGTAAAGCATGGATGGAAAAGATACACCCTATTGCATGAACTGGATGACTCAAGATGAAGGGTAAAGAATGAGGACAAGCAAAGGGGTCTCTATTGTGATGTTAAATGTTTATTTTTGCAATTTGAAGAAAATATGATAAAATGTTAATATTTGTTAATTTGATAGTGGAGAGTATAGGGTGTTTTATAATTCTCTTTAGTTTTTTCATGTTTTTAAAATGTTTCATAATTTTAAATGTCTATGAATCAGAAGCTCTTAAAGTACCCTATTTTGCAGCTATAACATGCACTCCCATTTTTTTGTGTGTATTATGCACAGGATTTATTATACCCATTATTCCACCCATGGTCCGTAATCATTAATCCTGTATATAATGTGCATCCTTATTTTTCCCGCAATAATTTGAGCAAAATGTGCTCATTATACATGGCAAAGTGTGTATTTGATAAGTACCAATGTTACATCACCACTCACACTGTCCCTGAAACTGTTCTCTGTGTGTTCTGTCTTCCTGTGGTTGAATATTCTCTGGGGCTTTTTCCTCATTCGTAAGATGACGGGTGAATAAAAGGTCCTTTATGATTCTCTCTAGCTCAGACACTCTAGGTGCCTTCCCTTTCCTGTCACCTTACACCTCAACACCCCCCCTTTAAGGTCACTTATTGAATCTGTTATCAATCCATCTTCCTTTTCTCTCTTTAAGTCTCCTTTTCTGAAAAGTCACAGGTAATATTTGACCAAAGCATTCTGAGTAATCGAGTTTGCTAAAACTCTAGAAAGGTTTTTTTTTTTCTTTTCCATTTAAAATAAAACCCCTGCGTTTTCATCTGCCCTCTTTGACAGAGGAGGTGTAGGGAGGAGGGGGTGGTATAAGAGATATTCCATGGGGGTGGGGGGTGCTACTGCATTCTTACCTGGGCATCAATCTCCAGCCAAGGAGCAGCTGACTTGGAGATGAACTAAATTGAGGCCACCGTAACTTTGTACAATCTGGGCAGGCGCCGTGGGCAGAACAAAGTATACTTTGCAACTGGAGCTGGAGTGGGAGAGAGGGCTGCCTAGATCAGAAACACTTTGTGGCATCTCCGCAGGAGAAGGAAAGTGCATTTGGCTGGGCAAGTCCCTGCGGGGGGCGGGGGGAGTTCTCCCGACTTGGCAGCCAAGAGAGCTCCGGGCTGCAGTCCACGGGGCCAGAGGAGGTGCGGGGGTGGGACCAGCGGCGCCGGAGGGACAGCTGGGTCCCAATTCCCCGTTGCACGCCAATCCGGCTCTGCTAAGTTTCCGAGGAGGGAGGAAGGTGTGGCTAGAGTAAGGTATCCAAGGCTGTGAACCTTCCACCTGCTGAGGACCCTGCTGCAACCATGGGCTATCAGGGCCAGCAGCCCGTCGTCCCACCACAGGTAAAACTGCAGACTGGGGCAGGTTCTGAAGCCAAGTTCCCTCAAAGCTTCATTCACCCTGTAACAGAGGTTTCCTTACTTCATTTAGGGGTCCTGGTTAGCACCACTGAAAGTTCTCTGGAAGAAGCTTTGCCTTGAATTGACTTTTTTTTTCCTTGCCAGGCACTTTTCAATGTAACCCCTTTAATTCCACAAAATCACATCATTGGCTCTCTATAGGATGCTGTACTCTGGGGTTCCAAGTAGCACCCATGTACTTGGTGCAGTTTTAATCAGGACATTCTAGAATGGATTTGTTTGGAAAACTCTGTTGAGCTACTAGCTATAATTGTTACTCTTTGTTATTATTCTCATCATTTTTTATTATCACCATTGCTATTATTATCATTATTGATATCATGTTAGTCTATTATATTGTATATTTAACACTTTTCTGGTTTTGAACTAGTAAATATTGGTTTAGCTTTATTCATTACTGGCCATTTTATATATTTAAATAGAGCGATCTAGATGACAAAGGACTCATTTCTGAACATAAGCACAAAGGGAAAACTTGCCGTCAGCCTGCTGCTGTTTTTAATGTTGTCAACTCTATTATAGGATCTGGTATAATAGGTAAGTGTTACTTTGTTGCTGTTTTTTAAATTTCAAGTGAAAAGACCAAATTTAAGACTCTTATTGTGAGTATTCATTGATTTTTTAGAGTAAAGCTCTTAAATGATAAAATTGCCAATAATTGTCTTCCGTAAGAGCCTTTCATTTCTCCCTCCATAACACTGGGCAGCCATCAGTCCCTTTTTTGCTGAAGATGGAGTTGTGATCCACACTCTGCACAACTGAAAGTATCCTCCACATGTGTTGGGTGGAGTTTCATATAGGACATACTGAAACTTTTTTTCACAGGCTGCATGGACGATTGGTAATGTTACCTAATTTACTTTTCCCTCTTCCTGAAGTGTCCATCATTACTTGAATCACCTTTCTATGGCCATCTGGAGGTGCAAAACCTCCAGATACATGGAAATATTGGAGGTACAAAATTTTAATGTGAAAATACACCAAACTTGTGAAAAATTAAATCCACACACTCCAGTACTTACCCATCTATCTAGTGTTAAGTTTAAAGTATGAACATAGTGATTTATAGTCATTTTAAATATAATTTAGTCAATAAGTAGAAATTGATTTTAAAAAGTGAATATGATTTTTTAATAAAGAAGCCAAATCATAATTGAAAAAAAATGAGCAGCTCATATTTTCCCAATTTGAGACAAGGACAAAAATAAGAACATTCCATTATAGTTATAAAGGTAGTTATATTCCCATACTTACTAATTTTTTGTTATTTGAAAACATCCAATTTAAGAAAAAGTAGGAACAAAATAGAATCATGTAATACTCATTGACAATATTATCTTTTTTGTGAAATTTTGACATTTTAATTACTATCATTGTTGAATATTTATCTGAACTGAGTGATGTGTATTTTTGTTTTACTTGTTTCCATATATAAATAATTTTTTTCAAATAGTACATCAAGTGGAAGTACCTGAAGCAAAGTAGTGAAAAACGGGGTCAAAGACTTGTTTGAAATTTTGCCCTCATGTGCCCCAGAGGGTGTGGACCGCTCTTCTTGGCAGAATTCCAGACATAATTCCTTATTTAAACACTTGAAGCTCATCCATGTCAGCAACATTTAGAGTGCCTCTTAATTATGCTCAGCCAATTTTCTTCTTTATTTTTAGAGAAAGAGAAGAAGGGAGAGAAACATCAATTTGTCTTTCTACTTCGCCATTCATTCATTGGTTGTTTCTTGTATGTGCCCTGACCAGGGATCAAACCCTCAACCTTGGCATATCAGAACAATGCTCTAATTGAACTATGGGGGCTAATTTTTCAGAGAGTAAAATACTGCATAGAAATATTTTTAAATATTTTATTGCACATAATCTAAAATTATTCATTTCAAAAAATCACAAAAATTTTCATATTACCCCCTTAAGCTTTATAAAATACTTTTGCCTTCTCATTTTCTCCCCCTTTTCTACATGGCGGCCCATTTTGACCCCTCATGTCCTGTTGCCTTTCTGTGCTCTTTTGTCCTCTCTGCTTCCCAGGCAGCACAGAAGCTTTGCGTCCTTACTCTCCATATTCTAGGTCATATGATCCCCTCGCCCTGACATGAACATGATTTGTATGAACTGACATCTAATTTGTATTTTCTGCTGTCTTATTCACATTCCATTGCCTCATAAACTTGCTCTCTGTACATGTCTTTAACTTATACCATTTTATTCTGAAATAAGTATTAATATGCTAACATTTAATTTTAGTAGTCAAATGCACTGTTTATAATTATGTCATATACATATCTCAGTGTACTTAGCCTACTATATACAGGAAATGGAAAAAACTTCTGTATTTCTATATGTTTTATTAATGTGATGGGTGGGCATTTTATGTTTTTCCAGGATTGCCTTATTCAATGAAGCAAGCTGGCTTTCCTCTCGGAATATTGCTTTTATTCTGGGTTTCATATGTTACAGGTAAAATACTATGCAATCATGAATTCTTGCAAATTAAATTGCACAAGGACTATTTTATGCACATGCACACTCATACACACACACCCTGTAATTGAATTTACTAGTTGTATTGGATCAAAGAATCCCAAAGAATTTAGACATTTATGTCTGAGAAAATTTACTTTTCTTGCCAATCCTCTGAGGATTAGAAAAGCATTATATATTGTATTACCAAGCCTAAATCCTTTTCATGTGCCCTTTCATTTTGTGAAGAACATGGTAGGAGGGGAAGTCATTTTCAAGGCTGATTAAAGCCAAGTCAGCTATGCTCTGAAAGCACAGTTGTCAGGATTTCCTTTCCCACAGGGACCATGGGCAAGTGCACATGAATGACAAATCTTCTCCAGCTGTTTGTGCAGGTGTTCCCACCTTGCCCATGCCTGCTCAGGTTTCCCACCGGCCACTGTCTGGAAGTGCAGCAATACGGTGCTTCCATACTACTTCTCCATGTAATGCCTCCCCCTTTCCATGTAATGTGTTCATTCACACCCAATCTAAGTGCAGGCTATACAACTCATAATCACATCCTCTTTCTTTTGTCCTGATCCCTGCCTTGTCATCCCTTCCACTCACCTCATGACAAATGCAGGGTCTTTCCTCTACCTTAGTATGGCTGTGGAAGAGGCAGCAAGACACCACCTGCTGTGGTTGATGCTATGGTGGCTGCTATGTGTAGTCACCCAGATGCCTTTTTACCAGGTAATGCAAAACACCTTAGCTGTCCCCTTCTGTAGAATGTTGACCTGGGCCTCAGTGGTACCACCTTCCTGTGCAGTTATGGCCCCAAGCTGCCATTTTCCCACAGCCTTTAGCCAGTGCCTGACTGACACAGAAACCTTGCCTCCAGGAGGGACCAACATATGGTACAGTTGGAGCTCCAGAGTACCACCACTGCAGGGCTGAGCTGCAGATGGTCTCCCCCTGGACTCATCCTTCCTCAGGTGCTTCCCCTGCCCTATCATCTCACACTTCTCCTGGCAGCCCTCCCTGTAATCCCTTGCCTAAGAATATGTCTAAACTCTTCTTCTAGAGAACCTACCCAGATGCTGTTTCTCAGGCTTCCAAGCCCAGCCTATAACTGTTGCTTTTCCCAGGCTACAGAAGAGAGTAAAGCGTGTAGTAGATAGAAAAATCAGAGCTGCAAAAGCACTGGGCTCCCTTTCCTTTGCTTTCTTCTCTCCCCACCCAAAACCTAAACTGCTTTTAGCTTCTACAGCTCTTAAGTTGTAGCCTAATTTGTAAATCAGTAATGTGAGATCTATAACTTTGTGCTTATTTCAAGTCACTTGTTTTTGAAAATTGTGTTCTGTTCCCAAGGGCATTTATCACAGTAAAAAATCCCATTCAAGGATTTACCCTTGTCCTTTCTAATGTCCTGCTTCCGGGTCAATCAGCACTGACAAATAATTAACTTCCACCCAGGCATAGTAACCATGGCTTATTTAAGTGCATTGTAAATATGTACGTACATGGAAAAAATTAAAATGTGTATCACCAAAGAATTCAATACTTGAGGAGAATGAACAGTTTATTAAAGCCAAATCATATTAAACAAAAATAAATCATGTCATGAATAACGTTGTCAACTGATTTTATATATAAACCTACCAAAATTATTATGAACAGTCCTTTGCAAGGTTATGTATTGCAAAACTATTAATCAATAGAAATTAGTCTTACTAATTTGGTTACATGATCAAAATTCTTAAATAACTTTGATAAATAAAGGTAACCACACAAAAGGAAAAAATACATAGACTATGATTCATTTGATTTTTTAAATAGGCTTTTAAGAGGAAAATTTACAAGTAGGGTATGGCACTAAATTTTTCTTTAAATTGACACTGTAATTACACACTGATTTGTGTCTAGTGTTATTCTTCTGTCTGTCTAAGGCCTCTAATGAGGTATGACCAGTTCAATGGGTGTTTTTCCCAAGTTCTGTTTCCAAGTTTGTGAAATGTCGAGAAACAAAAACAGAATTATAAATATCTATAACAAAGTTTTATTTTTAAATTGCTTTAAGATTTTTTATTTGTTCATTGGAGTAAAATAATTTTTATTGTCCAAACATACAGAATGATTTAAAAGAAAATTTTCATGTTGAACAACATAAACTCATTCATAGATTACCTAAAGTTTGCATATAATATATTTAAAGTGATATCAAAATGTTATAGTGAATGATAGTTGAAATTCCTAAAACCTTTAAGGTAATGTATTTATAGCCTTTATTTTACAAGCAGATGAAATCATTTATATTTATCATTGACTAAATTTTTAGCAAATTGTTAACTTCAAGCAATACATTTTGAACTTTTATAAACAGCATTTTCCTTCCAAGCATACAGTTCTTCACCCCCCAAAAAATTACAACAGCTGTGAAATTGGGGCCCTCCTCTCTGTTACTCAGGTTTTCTTCATCAATTCTCTCTTTGGCGAGTAAGTTGCTGTTTTACCACATTTATCATCTGCCCACTTTCTGACCGTATTGCTGCAAGACTTACCTTTATCAAACATTGGCTTGATCACTATTATTCCCCCAATCAAAGCATTCTAAGACTCTACAATGACAAAAGAAAAAAAACATTGCATTTGAATCCCTTCACAGTGCAGTCACAGTCTGAATTTTCAGTCTCATCTCCAACCGCTCAAACTCCTCTTTCAGCCCGTCACCAACAGTGCTATGTGTGAACCCTATGTTTTAGCTATTCTAGACTCTGTCATCCCTCATACAGAATATGCTTTCACACTGCCTGCCCACGGACAGTGCCCTGGCTTGACATTTTTTTTCTTTTTTCTCTGCATGGTGAAATCTTATTCATCCTTCAAGACACTACTCAACTTTTCTGTGAAGCTTTTCATAGTTTTAAACAAAGGAAGTAGAATTCATTGCTATACCCTGTGTGCTTGTGGAATATTTTAAAATATATTTATTGGGTCATTTATCAAATTAAATTTGAATCCTGCTCTGTATTGATCACTGATTTATTGTAGCAATATTTACCGACACTGCTGCCTTTGTAGCAATGAAGAGCATTGTTCCTCCGTGTCTGCAGCTCATGCATAGGGTCAGGCAAACAAAAATAAATAGCTACAATACTTCATCAAAAATACCATAATAAAAATATATACCTGATCATAGGAACATTGGCATTTAACATGACCTCAAAGGAGCAGACGTGTTTTGGAAAGAAGGAGATACTTCCACTAAGTGTTTATGAAAATATGTGAGTGAGTGAGTGAGTGAAGAAAATGGAAGGTTACTTTAAGCAGGTGGAAATGCAGAAATACAAAAGGGAACTGTGTAATTACTCAGTCTGGGTACAGTGTAGGGTTGATGTTTGTACGTAAGCAGAGGGAGATGCTGGTAGAGAAGTTTGCAGAAGCAGTTCTGAAGGTTCCCATGAATGGCTCTATCATTACCATAGTTCCCTGAGGACTGCCTAGATGCTGAGCATAAAGCCATTACTGTACTTAATCCTTCTGACTCCATGAAGTAGGTATGCATTTTCTACTTTTATGGAGGAGGAAACTGAAACTTTAATGGATTCAAACGACATACCCAAGGTCTACAGTTGCTTCCAACAGAGTTGAGATTTTGATTAAGTGCATGTATTTCAGGGCCAGACTGACAGGGTCCAAATCCCGACTGCTCCAGTGCTAGCCCTGGCTAGCATTGGCAATGCACTTAACCTTCTGTGCCTCACTTTTCTCATTTGTTAAATGAGGGGTTATTGTAAAGGATAAACAAGTTAATATATGTAAAGCATTTTTTAAAGGGCCTGGCACACAGGAAGTACTGTGACAGTACTTGTGATAGTATTTTTGTGTTTGTTATATAATAATCCCAAAAGGTCAAATCCTCCACCCAAGGTCACACAGCTATAAATAATGTTTTCTGCCTCATGAAAAGGAGTTCATTTTTTTATTAGAAGGTATTAGAGGATCCCCTGGAGTATTTTAAGTGGACCACATGATCAGATTTGTGATACGGTCAGACCCATTTGAGGGGGAATGTTGAGAAAGTTTTAGTAGATGTCAAAGATGTTTTGGCAGAGGGTGAGATTGGTGGATGAGAAAACTATGGGAAGGTTATTGCCACAATCCAGATAGTATATGATAAAGGCCTAAGCCCTAAAATAAAGCAAGCTAGGGATTCGAAATGAGGGGATACAGTGGAATAATTTATGATGCAGTAACGGACTTGGTGACCAAAAGAATATAGAAGATGATGAATAATGAGAAGTCTAGGTGATTCTCAAATTTCTGTTGATACTATTCACTGATCAGAGAAATATGAATGACGAAGCAGGTTCCAGAGCAAACATATAAATTATAATGTAGATATTTAAAAACTGAGATGTCTATGAGGTCTCCAATGTGAAATGTTTACTGGGCACTAGATGTAGACATCCGGAGTTTTGGACTCTGGACTACAGATACAAATTTGGGGGTTACTAACATCTGTAGGAAAATTGAAACCGTGCACATGAATGAGATCACAGTAAGCCATCATGAAGAGTGAGAAAAAGTCTGAGAATGTAGAATAATAGGAAACTGGTATAAAACAGTCTTGATGGCCAAAACAGGTAGGAAGAAATCCAATAGAAAGTGATGCAGCAAAGGCCGCAGGGGGAAGGTTGAAAAAGAGGGGAATGGTGAACAGGAAAAAATTGTCACTGAAAGAGCAAATAAAATTAAGATTCAGGGCATGTCGACTGGATTTATCAACTTGGAGTTTATGGAAGAACCTAAAGTTTCGATGGTGTGGGAGGGATTCAGGGTGGAAAGCATGCTAGAGTTATTTGTATTTTCATCTTTGTGTTTTAATGCATTTTCAAATCACTTAAAGGACAAAAAATAACAAAATCACCTGTGGCGAAAATATGAGCACAAGAAAAGAGTGCAAGAATCGCACCCTGTACATAGTTATGTACCTAATAAAACTGCATTGACATTCAGTAGGTTAAATGTCATTCACTAGGTTCAGTGAGTTAAATGAAGGGAAAAAAGAAAGATATTAACTTTTAATTATATAATATCTATATAATTATACCTTCAATTTCAACTTAAAATTGAAACTTAAGTCTCTAAAATGTAAATTAAAAAAATTCTTAGAGTGCTCTCTCAACCATAACAATAAAACAGAGTTACTAGTTGTACTTTGTTATAATACAAATGATCGAGTCTCCTAAATCTATTTTTATGCATGCTTACAGCATTTTTCATTTTCAGTTTTCATGTGTTGAATGCCTATGAAATAGCTGATCACCTACAATGTATGGCTTGGCCATTGTGCCACATCCTATTAATGGTTTGTTGCACTGCCTATTTTGGGATGTAAAATGAAATACTGACACTCCACCATAGTCTGCATATCTTCTGTCCAGTTCATCTCATGGGTACCTTAAGTATACTCGCATCTTGATTGAAAAATAAATAATTGGGAACAGTACCATTTCACAAAAAAAATCATGTTTTATGGGAAGGAAATAAGTCTTGCCATGCTGATTTACTGTGGCATTAAATTAACCTCTTTTTTAAAAAAATTATCTTTTTATGTAAGTCAAAACATGAAAAACCTTTGTATTAAACGTAATCTAACATTTTTTATTGTTATTTTCCCACAGACTTTTCTCTTGTTTTATTGATAAAAGGAGGGGCTCTCTCTGGAACGGACACTTACCAGTCTTTGGTCAATAAAACCTTTGGCTTTCCAGGGTATCTGCTCCTCTCTGTTCTACAGTTTCTGTATCCATTTATAGGTAAGATGAATGTGAATATGCAAATTATACTTATTTGCAAAAACATACTGTTATTTCTAAATATAATAGTTTTAATATCATTGCATAGTTGTTAAAGAGTACTACTAGTTGAAATATATTCCAAATTCAGTGTTTGATTCTTTAGTCACTTTTCTCTTATTCCCTGGTCCTTTTGGTTGGTCTTCTGAGTATTTTACTAAAATAAAATGAGAGTGATTTTCATTAGTCTAATGTTTGTTCTTCCTTAGTTTGGTGAAAAATAGAATGATCTGGGAATAAAAGTGAGTGAAAGAAACAGTAGATCTCTTCAAGGCTGAAATACATTTTTTGAAAATATGTTGAAATACATTTGTGGAAGCCATGTACAAAGCCAACATGCTATTTACAGTTTGTACTATTATGGTGAAAATGTCACCTAGCACTGCTTAAATAAATAAAATGTTGAGATTCCACAATGGACAAATTAACTTCATTTTTTAAACCAGTAGTACGGAAGTTATTGCTTAAATCACTAGTTTGTTCTGTCTCCACCAAAGGCTAAGAATGTATTTCCCCCAAATCTCATTTTTTAAATGAGGAGATATTTTGGAACCTTCATAGTATTCTGTTGTTATTCCTCACATTGAGCAATACATGCATCCCTGAAACAGTATTTAGAAACTGAACTTTAATGACAAATAAATCACATTTTAAATGACTACCTAACCTCACTATTATTTAAATATGCTCGAAAACAATCAATTTGTAAATCAATTTGAAAATATTTTTAATACAAATTAATATTATCCCATAAATCTGTTGTCTAGTCATTTTTAAAGTTGTGCATAATGGTAAGCAATATATATATTTAAAAGTAGAAAGATTATACCAATATTTGGGAAGTAGTAACTGATTATTTTTCAAAATATTTAAGATAAAAATCTTGTTGGTGACTGTATGATTTTAATTATGTATTTAGCTATGATAAGTTACAACATAATAACTGGAGACACTTTGAGCAAAGTTTTCCAAAGAATCCCAGGAGGTAAGTAAATATATTTATTTTATATAGTTTCTCATAGTTAATGTTTTTTATAATAATTTATAAGTAAAATATTTGCAAGTTCAAGAGTTGGATGACTTCAAATATCTGGGATTCATTCTGATCCCAAAATATTAATCGTTTATATATAGTTTAAATCTTATTTAGCCGTTTAAAAATATGATTATTATTATTGCTGTACTTACCAATACTATTATTATACTATGCTCAGTATAATAGTAAGAGTTATTAATAATATTATTATAATAAATATTATTACTCTACTTAGAATATGTTTGAAATATCTCACCAACTCTGTTAGTAACATTTTCTCATGTACTATTTTTACTACACCATTTCTTAGATGAACAAGCTAATCTTTTCCTCCACTATTCTATTAATATGTAACTTTAACTCTTGCATAGTCTTATGAGTTTTGACAATGCACATAGTCATTGTACATGTATACAGTAAAAATACAGAATAATTTCATAATATCCAGATAGTCCCTATTCCCCTTTACAGGCAAACCCTCCCTCATCTCTGGCTCCTGGCAACCACCAATCTAACTTTCCTGCCTAGTTTCGCTTTTCCCAGAATGCCAAATCAATGGCATTATACAGAGTTCGGCTCTTCTAGTTTGGCTTCTTTCACCTAGCATAGTGCATTTGAATTTTAGCTATGACTTTGGGTATACAGTAGTTGGCTCTTAAAAAAAAATGGCTGGGGAATGCCCCGCTGCATGGTTGGACTGGACAACAGTTTACCTGTCACACAGTTGGGGGACATTTGGGTTGTTCCCAGTTTGGGGTGATTATGAAAAAGAAGCTATGAATATTCTCAACCAGACCCTTTTATTAACATGTGCACAGACTTCCCTCCCCTTTCAACCTTTCCTCATATTGTGGCCATTTGCATCATTCAGCCTTTGTGCTTCAAAGACCTTCTCATTCAACCCATATAATCCCCATTTTATTGTGACCAGACTCTATAGTCATTATTGCAGTTGAAATTGATACAAACATGCCTTTCCTCTTAGTGCTTGAATCACTCATTCTAAAAGACATACAAAACTAAAGAAAGCAAAACCTAGAACTAGAAATTGCACCCCTTCCTCTCACTGGGTTAGCTGAAATCAGGACTACTTGACCATCAAGTCACAAAAACAATGCTTGCTTTCTATGTGACTGAGAGAAGGTTAACACCTTCTCTTCTGAGGTCTAGTCTATTTGTCTCTAACTTATGAATTAGAGTATCAACTGCTTCATATTATTTTATTCAAAACAAGAGAGATAATACAGACAGTGCCTAGGATATAGTAGGTTTTCCTAACATTGTTAGTTAGCTATTATTATTGTTACCCTGAACTATTTTGGCTTCTGTCCTAGTCCTTAACCTTCAAATCTTAATTTCAAAAACTTAGGTCATGTGAGTAGAAAGAATGCTATGTAAAAATTGGAAGAAGATAACACTATATATACACTATGATCTAAATTATAAATTTTCTCTTTGCATAAATAAATGAGGAAAACATTTAAAATACATTTGATATAAATTGTGGTTATCTTTTCATTGTGGAACCTATGGGACTTTGTTTCCTTTGTTACTTTTCAAAGTTTTTCAAAGGAACATGTATTAATTTTTAATTTTTATCTCTTGATTTTTATATATAAGAAGTAATACACTTTTATTAGAAAAAATATTAAAAAGCAGATAAGTAAAATAAAGAATATAGAACATACTCATAACCTTTCCCTCTCAGGAAAACCAAGTGGGAACCATCCTTCCAACATTCCCTTCTTTTTTTTCTTCCTTCCTTCCTTCCTTTTTAATGTAAACTATGAGAGTTTTAAGAATGCATGTAACTTTAAATAGTCATATGAGTAACATAACACTCTATAGCTTGTTCTATAATATGCTTTTTTCTTTGAGCAGTACATTAGGACACATACCCTTAACAAAACATAGAGATCTATTTTAGTTGCTTAATTGGCAGTTTAGTATTCTCCAGTATCTATTGTGCAGTTACTTTAATTTTTATTTAATTTAATTACTTTAATTTTCCCTAAAACACTTTATTATTTTTTATTTTTAATTTTATAAATATATATAAATATATGCTTTCCATAAAATATTTTATCATAGATAAGGCTAAAGTTCCTTTTGAAACCCCCTTCTTGATTATTAATTTTATAATAATCAAAAATGACTTTTAAAATATAGATCACACACCAAAGAACTCACTTTTATTCTTATCACAGTTTCTTTACATTGTTGCATATTCTATAATGTGTGATTATTTGTATCTTTTTAAAGATCAATATGATGCCAAAGTATTTTTAGAAGTAGATAAAATCCTTAGTAAACCTGCATTTTTTTCCCTGAAATATATCACCAATGTCTTAGATTGACAAGTGGACAATTGCTTGTACTTCTCCCAGATAACTTAAGTCTTAGTTCATGATACAAGTCAAAATAATGAGAAACATCAGTATAGGAAATAGTATGTTTATATGATTTTGATATTTTTGAACTATTTCAATGTTCAGTTTTCCCTACTATTGTTCAAATATTTAGAATGCTTGTTTGGGTGCATTTTTGTTAGAAGATCAGTAGGGGTAATAGATCTCATCATTAGATCATTAGTGAAAAATACCCTTTACACAAATGGGGATCCTTAGTTTTCAGGCTCCTGTATGCTATTCATAGCAGTTTATTGTAGTGTTTTTGTAGGCCTCAGAATTTTCCCACTGAAGAAAATGTATTTTCTACCCAATATAGCATAAAGGGGGAGTTTGAAAGGGTAAGGAGAAATAGATATAGAGATAATTTAATTCAAGTCATGTTTACCAGAAATATGTAAATAGTTGCATTCAAGGTTTGGGGAACTTATACTTTCTGTTTTATTGTTTTTAATTCACAACTTTATGATGATTGTTTAGTTATGGTTGAGTTAAATGCTCATGATTAATTATTCAATTCTTTTGTATACACATGAGTATGTAAAATTTATGCCATTTTGAAATTCCTACCATAGAACTATCTTTTCAGTTAGTTTATTAACTGTATAAGAAAATTAATTTCACTTTTCAGAGCAATAGCTTCTCTTTTATTTTTTTAAATCACACTCAGTTATTTGAGACTTGGTTTCTACAGACTTCAAACTTCAAAGAGTTGAATGCACAAAGACTGGGTACCACTAGAATATTTCAAATATATAACTACATGATCTCTGAAGGAATTCAATATGAGCTAAAAAGTTTCAACAATAGTGTCTTCATTGGAATAGGTATAGATCTCTTAAAGTGAATACTGTGATAAGCACAGCTTTAAAACATATATAAATCTTTGTGTACTCTAACTTATGTTTATTTTTTTGTACTTGATGATAGTCTCTCTCTGTTGTTTGGTGGTTATGAGAGCCAAGAGTCTGAGATATAGTGTCCCAGATTTCAGCGGCTTTCCTATAACTTCCCTATTCAACAAGTTGCTTCTACTTTCCTTCAAGAAAAATATTTCTTTCTCAACAGGATAGAAATATAGTGAATATTTTTACCTAAATATTTAGCTTTGTAATTTTGTTAAAGTTTTACTGTTTAAATTTCTCTGAAATATAGAATTTTTTTAAAAACCTGAGAAAATGCCCAGTCCCCATGTAGCTTACTGTCTCAAAAAATGGTTTTGCCATTAGAGGCTTTTGACTAGGAATGATATAATGTTTGTCTTGGGGTTTTTTTTTTTTTGCCTTTGTAAAGGATTGCTGTAGTTTCCAGGTTAAAAGTATACTATACTCTAAGGGCACAAAGGAAGGTAGAACAAGAAAACTGATTAGGAGACCATTAAAAGCATTTAAATGTAAAATATTTTAAGATTTGAACACAGGCTTATCTATGTTATCTTGTATTTATTTTTTTGTGTACTATTTCTAGTCATACATGGCTTTATGGAGCATATTTACTCTTAAAACTTTGTCCTTCCTATATTATTTAATATTTTAGTTATTTTGATAAGTCAATGTTTACTGTGTCACTGATGAGCTACTCATCTCTATTAACACTTCATAATATCGATTGTGTTTTAGTTGACCCTGAAAACTTGCTCATTGGTCGCCACTTCATTATTGTGTTTTCCACGATTGTCTTCACTCTGCCTTTGTCCCTGTACCGAGACATAGCGAAGCTTGGAAAGGTAACTTTTACATTTAAGTAGGTGCAGAAACGTATTTTCTTACCTGCATTAATTTTGTCCAACTACTGTCTCTATGATCAAGTTCTTAATCATCGCATTTGTCTTCAGTTTCTTTTAATTTAATTATAATGATGATTGAGTAAACTACTGTTGAATCTTTAGCTTATTGTTGGGAACAGAGGTTTAAATGATGAGTATGAACTAAATATGTCCTTTTTCTTTCTATTTTTAAGGTAGATACTCTAACTGATGTCAGGCAGCCACTTTACATTTAGAAAATATAAAGAATTACACTTAAACCAAGTTTTGTTTACTAAAAAAAGGTTCTATTGTTTTTATAGAGAGTAAGTTAAACAATTTAAAAGCAAACTAACTTTAGAAATAAGGATGAATCATTTTACTGACTTCAATTTTTCTTTGTAAATTACAATATCTATTGTGCCTATTTTTCATCCATCACATTCAAATGTCATTGTTTTGATTAATTGTTGATAATTTGGCCAGTGTTTATGCTTTGTATTGCTAAAAACAAATGCTGATTTCTTTCTAATGAAACCAACCAAATAATTATTTAACTCACTACATATGCCCATCAACATAGAGTGGCCTCTATCTGGTTGTATTGTATTTCCTCACTATCAAGGAATGTTTGTATTTTACCCAAAATATTATTGGTGCTATATCTACATGATGTCAAGCATTCTCATGAGAACAGTTTTTAAAGAATTTTTATATAATATTTTATATTCCATTTTGAAAAATCCAACGATTGATTGAATTTTACTTTTTGCTATGACATTTGATGTGTGACCACAGTTAAGAAGTCCCTTTTTTCAGGCAGAGCTGAGAATACAGATTATATTCCAGAGTATTCTGACTATACTCCTTCCTTTTATAACAGTCATCCAGATATAACCAAGAGTGTTATCAAAAGGGGCTTTTGTAGTGAAATATCTGAAATGGTTGGACTGTCTTCCATTCACATGTTCAGTGTAGACATAGATGTTACTTTCACAGAGCAGAAAGCAAGGAATTCAAGAAAAGAAAGCTGCTAATCTATCATTATCTAAACATTTTCTCCTAAATGTCCCTTGAACGTGTCACATTGAAATAACCAAAATAAGTCTCCTAAATAGCAAAGCAGTATGGTTAGGAGCCCTGATCTGGAGTCACTTGCACTTGAGTTCTTCCTTTGCCTCTTTCTTGCTATGTGGCCTTGAGAATATTACTTAACATTTCTGTTCCTTGGTATTTCTGTTCCTCAGTAGATCAGAGGACTCGTAATAAAACTTTCTAGTTAAAAACTAACAATAGAAAACAAGGTTAATGACCATTAAATGAAATAAAATTAATTCTGTATTTTATATTCTTCCCAGAGAAAAAAAGTGTAGAGTGTGTTCATCCATTAAAAATTAAAAGACAAAACATGTATCTAGTGTAATGAGTGCATAGAACACATACACACACAGACCAGTTTATATTTTAACCAGTTGAAGTAATGACAGGACAGAGAGGAAGAAACAGACTGAGAAATAGACGAAACAGCAAGATCACAAAGGGAAAAAGACCAACAGAGCTAGAGAACAAAACGAAAACAGCAGAGACCCCCAAAATGGGGGGGGGGGGGTGGTGTTGGGAGGGTGAAGGTAAAATAAAGGCGGACTCAGATGGAGTAACTATAGACAGGATAAAAGCACAGTCAACACTAAAATAGGGCCTGAAGAAAAATAAACATACTTTCATTGAAAAATCACCAGTTCTGCATTCTCCACAGGAAGCCACTAAAACCAAGTAAAGCCATGATACAAGATTACGATAGTCATATATGATACTTGTTCTCCTAGTTAAAAGGAAGAAAACTAAGACTATGGGCTGATAAAAGTTATATACTTGAGATTATCAACCCAGTCTGTAAGAATAATAACTACTAAATAAATATTTGAAACTGTGCATATGTTTACTTAAGTAAAAAGAGAAACCCCTAATATTTTCAATAAAATAATCTCTATAGCAGCAATTTTCAACATTATTCATCTCATGGCATACATAAACTAATTACTGAAATTCTGTGACACACCATAAAATGTATTTTTTGCCAATTTGACAAAAATAGGTATAATTTTGATTCATTCACAATGAACAGCTGTTGTTATGTTGGCTGTTGTCATTTTTTACTTGACAATCTAAGGGTAGAGGTCAGTGCCCCTGACTAACTAGTCAGTATTGCATGTTTTAAAAATCCTGCAGCACACCAGGGTGCCTGCCACAGAACACTGGTTGCAAATCCCCACTCTGTAGTAAATTGACAATATTTTTACATTTTCTTTTGCAGATTTCTCTTATTTCTACCGTTTTAACAACTCTGATTCTTGGGATTGTAACAGCAAGGGTCATCTCATTGGGTCCATACATGTAAGTTTTGTTGCTGTATTGGTTGGTCTTTGATTTATAACTTTCGCATAGATGTTTATTTGACATAAATAATTTATTTGACAGTGTAAAATAATCGTGGTACCAGACACATCGTTTTTCTTTAGTATTTGGCAAAGTGAAAGAAAGATTTACATTTCAGTAGACATGCATGTTTACCTTGGACTCTGCCTGGCCAATGAGAATAGTGAGAAATAGGATCTAAGTAGAAACTTAGGAGAAAAAGTAGACGGCAGAAATTTATATTTCTACCTCAGAGAGAGATGTGTTCTTAATGAAGTTTCACCAATCTAGAATGAAATGAGGTGAATAAAGAATATTTTGGATGGTTTTTGCCATTGAATAAAATGTAGTCACATTGAAAGCCACCCTTTATTCTTTGTTAAGATGATAGTCTTTTTCATTATTTTGTGTTGAAATGTTTTGTCATTTGTAAACTTGTAGTGATAGATGATAGTGATATTTATTTGCTTTTAATGTTATCATTTGGTCAAATATAATGTCAACAATTTGGTATTGGTTTCCCAAATTTTACTTACCCATCCATGAAATTCAAAGTGTATGTACTGCCTATCTAAAAACTGCACAGTTTTTATTATTTGATTAGAAAATAGATTCACCAGCTAAAGACGGAGTAGTTTATATCCATCACCCCAAGAGCATGGTGGGACAAAACTAAGTAAATTGGCTTTAAATGCAAAATTAGATTCCCATTCTGCACAATAAATATTTGCTGAATAAATAAATAAATAAATAAATAAATAAAGCATCATGGTGTTTCCAAGAGACTTTAAATGTTTTCTCTATCCCAAATAAGACAAAATAAAATTAATTTAAGACATAGTGTCTAGAACAATGCAAGAGACAGGCTGGGTCTTCAATGAATGTTATCTGTCAGAAAAAATAAAAAGGAAGTCTTGTGAATAGCTATAATGAATAACGTGGTCCCTAAGGTACTTTACTTTTTCTATTCGTTAACTGCTGTTTGGCAAAATCATTTCATTTTTAACTGTTAGTCTTCTTAGTTTACCAGAAAAATACCAAAAATTTTGCCTCAAATTTATTTGGAAGAAAATATAAAATATCTAGTTTAACTGCATTTGATTTGGCCTTCTCTTTGTAAAAACAGTTAATTTTTTAAATATAAATAAAAAATAAAGGTATAAGTACCTACGATGTTTATGTTAATGTTCTCTTCAAACAACTTAATTCCAGTTCATAGTTGTATTAGTCATCTTGGGTTGCTACAACAAAATGCTATAGGGGGGTGGCTTAAACAACAGAAGTTTATTTTCTCATAGTTCTGGAAGCTGTCGGCATGGTAGAATTCTGGTGAAAAATTTCTTTCTGGTCTTCATTCGGTGTCTTCATGTGACAGAAAGTTAGAGAGACAGCAAGCTGTCTGGTGTCTCCTCTCACAAGGGCACTAATCCCATCAAGAGTGCCCAAAGCCCGTGACCTCATCTAAACCTAATTATCTCCCAAAGTTCCCATCTCCACAGGGCATTCAACTGCGGCAGGGGTGGTGGGGTTTGGGAGGGAAGTTGAGGGGGTGGGGGGAGCATTCCAACTCCTGGATTTTGCTGAAGGGTGCAGTTCAGTCCATTACAATAGCTTTCTTGGAAATGCACTGGTTCACTTCAATGTGACCACTTCTTTCATTTAGTAAACTCAGAATGTCCATTGTTTCTAGCTATTTTGGTGTGTGCTGGGAGGAGAAAAAGCAGAAAGGTTTATATAAGTCAGCACCTGCTTCAAGTTGTTTACAAGCACGTATGGAGAAGGGACTTTTTAAAGAAAAAGAAAAAATAAAAAACACCCTGACTTAAAAAAAAAAGAAAAGAAAAAGAAAAAGAAATGACAGTGTAGTATGAAGAGTGCAAAACTGAAGTGTAAACCTGGGGCAGTGGCGGTGCCAAGGAAGAGAGTGCACAGTAGTCTGTCTGAATCAGAGAGAGCTTCCTGGAGGAAGAGAAACATGATCTGTTTTGAAGGATGAATTTGCACGTTTTCAGATAGATAAGCATGTAAAAGTCATTACAGGCTCAGGTAAGGCGAGCATAAAAACCCAAAGGCATATATTAAATCTACTGACATTTCCTTAGCATCTATTATGTTTTTTTTTTTGCTGGGAGCTTTTTTTTATTACTGCTTGGATATCATTAGTTGTAATTGGTCTATTCAGATGTCCTGATTTTTCCTGATTCAGTTTTTTTTATGTTTTATATATATATTTTCTCATTTTTTATTTAGTTATTTTTTAAGTACAATTTTTTGTCTATTTCTCCCATCCAAGCCCCCTACTTAGCATCTATTATGTTGCTACTGTATTGAGTTGTGATTTTCAAAAGTTGAATGCACAGCAACACAAAGCTAGTAACTATATTAAACAGAATTCAATAAATAATTTTGGGGTAAAAAATTTAATTGTTTATAACAACCATTTTAGTAGAAGCTTTTATTATGAAAAGTGATTCTAGAGAATAAATCATTAGGTTATAATAAAAGATCTTCTGGATTTAGTATAGCACTATGAGGCAATATTGAGAAAAAAAACGGACTTAAAAGTTGGAGGTAAATAAATTATTCATTAATTGAGCTCCAATAAACAGTTGAAAGCAAGGATTTTTCAGCTCTGGCTTCACATTAGAATTACCTGAGAAGCTTTAAAAAAGACTGACACCAAGTCCTCACCTGCAGAGATTCTGCGGCAGTTTGTCTAGGGATCAGGCAATCAGATTCATTATTTAATAGTTACGAGTCTATGAACAAGGTTTCACAGTCCCTTGGTTTAAAGAGATTAACACTGAGGAACACAAATAGAGCACTCGGGGGCACAGACAACAGGGAGTACTGACTGTGGGGCTGGGGGAGGGGTGAGGGAGGGGAGAGTGGGGGGAAAAGGCAGAACTCTAATTGAACAATGATTAAAAAAAAAGCACAGTTTTAACTGATGGATCATATCTAAAAATAGCCCAGAGATTTGGTGTTTAGTTATTCTTTTGTCATTATTTTTCATGACTCATCCTCCACTTCTTTTTTAAGTATTATTGATACACAAAATCTTAAGTGGGATACTATTGTGAATACACAGAAAAATAAAGTGTCTCATAAATGATCATCCTGGAGGCAGTGTAGCTCCACACAAAGGAAAGAGAAGGGAGAGGCCACTTCCTGGTGGAGCTAAGTGAATTGATTTTATGGCCAAAAAGCTACTTATGTCTGCCATAAACAAAATGAGGCCTGTATCTTTCTAACCTTCCTCTAATGGTGATATCTTATTTTATCTGAGCTTTTGACATTTTTCTAATAGGTATTATTTACTTAACTCTTTCAATATTTAGTTGTTAAAGAAGTGTGTTTTTTTAATACTGTGCTGCCTTTTATTTCTGTTTGAATACTACTGCAAACAACTTCTGTTTGTCCAGATTTACAGTCAGGCTAATCAAATCCCATGTTCAGGGGATGGCATAGTTGCTAGTCAGACAGGCTTCTTTCTGAAAATGTGACAGCCATGAATGTTCATGATCCATAAAACATGAGAAATTCAATATTCCATGTGTGTTTTTCCTCATTCTTGGTTCAGATGAATGGTCCAAAAAGATATACTTTTCAGAGGGTTTTTTAAGTGGTATTTGAAAAAGATTTTTAAACCCACTATCAGAAAGAAGGAAGGTCTGTAATGGCTACTAGTATTGACCTTGTTACTATGGAAACACCTTTTTAGTGGTTGTGTTTTAAAAATAAAACACACAATTCAATTTCCTTTTTCATAACTCATGGGGCCATAAATTCTGCTTTCTGATATGATTTCAAATTTCTCACAGTCCAATGACTTTCAGTTCTTTTTGGAAATAATGGTCAGTTTTATTGTATTTTCTAACCTTTTGCTTTCTATAAACTGAGGTGCTAAAGCAATTTAATTGCTTTCCAGAAAGTGTGCTAGTACAAAAATGTAACAGCATTGTTCTCTTATTCTTTTCAAACTAGAATCAGAGACATTTTTGCTGTGAAAACCTTCATTTTATGCTTTATTAATATTCACTTCTTTGCATGCAAGATAGAAATCATAGCATGCAGTCCACAATTAGAACTATTTTCTCTTTGTGTAACATCTCTTTTACAACATTTATAATAATAGTATGTGTGGTTAGTGTTTCAAACGTAATTCCAAAAATGCAGCTAGACTTTTCACAGGTAGTTATGTATATAATATGTGCCATCCACAAGGATCTCGGCACATATTATTTTTTTACCCCTTATAATTCTGATCCTGAAATTCTACAATATAATGCCATACCTAAAGAGGAACTAGAGGGGATTAAAGAAAGGATCAGAAAAAAATGGGTAAAGACAGAGGAATGGTACATATTTAGAAAAAAAAGAACAATTAGTTTTGTCAAATACCAGCCACTGAATTTTTGATAATGTATGTATTGTTCTTTTTGTTGCCAATAACAGCATCCCCAGGACCCTAAGTGAATGGAGCAAACAGACTTTATTGACTCACATTGTAAAGTTCAAGGGTGGTTCTGTTATTAGACTTTGTTGGATTTAGGAGCTTAGTCGATAAAATCAGACATAAATTTTTTTCTATCTCTCGGCTTCTAGTTCCTGAAGGGTTTTCACTTTATTGTGACAAGACAGCAGCAGCAGCCTCAACCTACGTCTATTCAAGTCCAAGTCCATATAAAAAGGGGGAGCTTTGTCTTATAAATTGCCTCCAGCTTTACTTTCAGTATTAGTTATGATTGGCTTCAGTAAGGACCTAAGACAATCCCCAACCTGAGCATCATGGCCTGTGTCGAGTTGCTTGTTTTTAGATTACATGCCTACCCTCCATGATAAGGACAAGGTCAACCAAAGTAAATCACATGAACTGAGGGTAGGAGAAATGATGATCCCAGAGGAAATCAAGGCAGTGATGCTGGGAACAGACATTGCATGATGTAAAATTCCGATTTCCACTACAGGTAATAAGA